GGAGCAGTTCTCAGGATATTTAGAAGGAAAATTCCATTAAAAAAATCACAAAGCTTATTATTACCCGGAAATATAGCCAAGAAAACACCCAGACTAGAGCCTTATTTGTACACTCTACAAAACCATTCTGAAAATGAGCTCCGTGAAAATACAAAGGCATTGTGGACAACACAGTGACCAGAGCAAAGCAAGCCTGCAGCGAGGAGGATGATCTCTAGCAGGCCCGTCTTTCTGTCATACACCTGCCGGCCTGGACGAGGTAAAGCGCTCAAGACCCCACTTTGCTCACCGTCTGCGGGGGAAAGCGCTTTTAATTCAATAAAGCAATGGGATTCCTTAAAAGGCTTTCCTCCCTCCACACGCTGAAAGCACACGACAACCCTTGAAGTGCATAACAGAGTCAATTTATCCAATGACCCTTAAGCAAAGAGTGAGGGAGGACATTCTCACCAATGGTGCTGGGGTGGGCTACCATAGATGTCTGCAGCAGGGGCCAGGCTGAGGGCAATTCCCTGGATGCCTAGTGTATTTCATTGGGTCACACACACATCATGTTATATTTTTTATGAAAATATGAACTTACAAAATACCATTAGATACTCTGAGAGATGGATCTCATAGACCAGCACAGGAAATTTCAAAAAATAAAATAAAACAAAATAAAATAATATTCCCATGATAAAAACAATGGTTTTAAAGAGATCAAGTACATTGAGTGTTATTTTTTTTTTAAAACCCGTAACAAAGACCCACTTGTTTTACATCCCCTGAGGTCTCTTTTGCCATTAACTAAGGATCACACCATTACTGGAATGGAAAAAAGCCTTAAGCAAGAACAGTTCATTAAACCTTGGCCCCTCAACACACCACAAGAATAAACACAGAAATGCTGATCCTGGGAGCAACTGCCTAACAGAAAAGAAAGTTCCAGAAGAAGCCGGCCCTACTGAGCACATGCATCCCACACACAGACAAGCTCACTCACTGAAGAGAGGCCGAGCATTCCTATCTCTTCTCCCTGAAGCCTTGAGAATCTACCAAAGCGTAAATTGCTCAAGCGAGATGGATCCCAACCTGCTCTGAAGCCACCGAGACAGGCAGGGTTTGGGACGTCAGCCCCGCCGTGAGTCCGGGCAGGGAGATCCCCACGCCGAGACAGAGAGTAACCCACGGCTCACTGGCAACAGTCCAGAGTGTCTTGCGGGACCAAGCTAACGTCAAGGGTGGATTTGAACCTAAAACCAACACCTTGCTAGGCTAGGACACCTCTTAGTTTTGTGATGAACTCAGCAAAAGGTACATTTCAATTTTACCACAAAAGTAAAGCAATATTCTACATAGGAGTGAGCTAAGGCTTCAATTGTGCTAACGCTACCCGGGGTATCCAATGCAGTTAGAAAACCGAAAAGAGAACCCCAACGTGCTGTCCTACCAAAAATGGGGTGTTTTCCCCTTCCCAAAGACAGAGGCAAAAAGCAAAATAAAAAATTATTTCTCTGATCCCCAAGAGTATAAGAAGCATCGCTGCTGTCAGGACAACACTAACAGGAAGGCCTAGGACTGCCTTGTGACAGAAGAGGGAAACATTCACCTTGGATTTCTTCTGAGCGGCTCCTGGTGGAGAGAAAAGCACTGGACCTGGGGTCAGCAGAGCCTGGGGTTGGAATCCTATTGCCAACACACCTTAACTGTGTGACCCTGGGCAAGTCACTTAGTCGTCGGTAAAATCACAGTACAAGGAGCTCTTAAGTACGACTGACGTGCTGCGTTTTTACACTGCACACATTTCCAGATCAAAAGTGCAGGAAAACTAGAAATGCAGTGGCCTCATGTCAAAGTGCAAAAAAGTAGAAAAGGTTTTGCACGAACACAGCAATAAACCTAAGATGACAAGGGAAATCGTAAGCTGAGAAAAAGGCATGTTGGTAGAGTTGTGAACAATGAGTTACTGAGCAGAGTGTGCAAAGAAAGAAAAGGGCCTACATTTGTAGTGGAAGTGAAGAAAAGGCTGACTGGCCATATCATGGGAACGTGGTGAGAAATGAGGGAACGGACAAAGGATTTCAGAGCTATGGGAAGACCACGTGAACCAATGCAGGCTGCAGGGAGCAGGCGGCGATGATATGCCCAGTGCACTTGGCCGACCCAAAAGGCAGAGGCAAAGGCTCCTTCTTACTAGACTTACTCTCAAAATTGCTGACTGAGAATCCTGCCTGGCAAAAAAGCTTTAACAAGTGAAGAGGGTGGGCCAGCCATCCATCATAACCACGGGGATTGAATGCAGTTTGGGCACAAGTGTTTGCATCAGAATTTGAGGAACCCTTCCCAAAAGCAGATCAGCACCCTCACTTCGATGTTCAGGCCTTCAGAGCCACCTGGAGCCCAGAGGTGCCATCACTGATGCTGAGCTCGGTGGGACACAGAGGGCCAAGTGACTGGCCCACAGCTACCTGACAGAGCAGAGGTGGGAGTGCTGGACCCTGAGTCCAAGCTTCCTCTGGACTTAGGCCCGGCTGCTGCCTTCTGCCCGAGTCCTCCTCCTGACAAAGCCGTGTTCACTCCTTTTGGGCCTCACTCTCCAGCCCTGGAAGGCCGCCGCGGCGGTCAGAGTCTCAGTCCCATCTCCTAAAGACATACCTCATGCCAAAGTTTTGCCTCCTTCTTGACTGACAGCTTTGCTCAATACAGAGTCAAAGCTACAGCCAGCTGTTTCCTTAACAGCCACCTCAGGCCCACCTGCTCTCCCACAGCCAGCCTTTGGAAAGAGACCCCAAGTGCTCCCCAATGGGTGGGACAGTTGGGACACACACACAAGAACGCAGCATCTAGATGGGTTTCAAACCCAGGACTCCAGACCTGGCCTCTGGGCTCCTTTCCCTCACAGCACTGGGAGTACCTGCTGCCCTTCATACAAGCCCCCAGACTCTCCATCCACATAAATCCCCCCACCAACTACCTTCCAGCTAAGCTCTTCCCCAACATGACACTCCATTTCCCTACTGATCTCCCCATACAGAGATAATGCCCGACGGCACAAGTCTTTCACACCAATTGTGGATTAAGTTTTACTCACTCATTATTCTGACCAGGATTATGGCTATCTCTGTGCACAGCCTCCTTGAAAGGGGAGGGGGTGGGGGTGGAGGTAGTGGGGAAGGAACAAGTATTTCTACAGCATCTACTGTGTGCCAGGCATTATGCTACAACAACCCTGAGAGGTGGGTGTTATTATGGTCCTCATTTTACAGTTGAGAAAACTGAGGCAGACAGAGGCATAGTGACTTGCCCAGGGTCATACAGCTAGTGTCTGAGGTTGGATTTGAACTCAAGTCTTGTGGACTCCAGGCCCAGCACTCTATCCATTGGACCATCAGCTACGTCCTTCTTGGAAAGACTATCATTTTTCTTTTAAGCAGTTCTTCCATGTGGCACAGACTAGGTGACAAAGAAATGTCCCCTGAACTGAACTGCAGACTAAGGTTACCTGAATGACTGGGCCATAAGGTTTTACAGGCTGGAACAGGCTTTAAATATCCTCTGTTCCAGTCCCCTTATTTTATAGGTAGAAAAGCAATCATCCCCAGAGAGGTAATATGCCCCCCATCTTCCCTATTACTGTCCAGAGCACCCCCACCCTCCAAGTCCCTCACTAGGAGTCCTACCTCTCTCTCTCTCCACCCTCAGATCCAATATGGTGCCAAGGCCGGTCAATTTCACCTCTGCAGCATCTCTGATCAATTTCACCTCCTGCTGCATTTTGACAATCTATCATTCCACATGCACCTACACACACACCCCCTCCACAGATGGGGGCTAGGGGTCCTGCCTGCCTTAAGTCTCCCTGTGCTCCAGTCCATCCTTCATTTATCCATGAAAGTGATTCTCCTAAAGCCCAGGTCCCACCATAAAGTCCCCTACTCAATAACCTCTTGGCTCCCTATTACCTGCAATATCAAACAAAAATCCTCTGTTTAGAACCCGTCCCTTTCTCCCTTTCCAGTCTTCCTATACCTTAGGTCCTTCTATGTAGTCTTAGATCCAGTGGCCCCGGCCTCCTGGCTGTAAAGAAGACCCTCCGTCTCTCCACTCTGGGTATTCTCTTTGGCTGTCCCCTATGCCTGGAACACTCTTTCTTCTCATCTCCAACTACTGACCTACCTGGCTTCCTTTTAAGTTCCAGCTAAAATCCCACCACCTACAGGAAGCCTTCCCCAGCCCCTCCTAATTCTGGTGGTCTTCCCTCTCTTATTTCTCTTATTTCCCATCTGTCCTGTATACAGCTTTCTTTTTATATGTGCTTTTTTCGCATGTTGTCTCTCCCAGTAGATCGTGAGCTCCTTGAGGGCAGGCGCAATCTTTTGCCTCTTTTTGTATCCCCAGGGCTTGGCACAGTGCCTGGCACATAACAGGCTCCAGCCAATGCTAGCTGACTGACAGATGAACCTGGTACACAGTAGGTGATTAATAAATGCAGCTGGATGCTGCATGGATAGAGCACTGGGACTGGAGTCAGAAAGATTCAAACTCAAATCCAGCCTTAGACATTTACTAGCTGTGAGACCCTGGGCAAGTCTCTGAACCTCTTGTACCTCAGTTTCCTCTGCTGTAAAATGGGGACATCACCTACTGCTCAGGGTTGTGAGGATCAAACGAGATGTTTGTAAAGCACTTCACACAGTGCCTGGCACACAGTAGGCACTATATAAATGTTAAGCTAGCAGTATTATAAATATTACTACTACTATTATTATGAGATAACTGTGAAGTATTTGGCACACAGTAGGTGCTACATAAATGCTACCTATTTATTATCGTTATGCTAACTAAAGCACCTGGCACACAGTATATATAATGCTATGATGATGATAACAACTGTAAAGCGGTTGGCACACTGCTTAGCACCCAGTTGGCCAGCTGACCACAGCTTCCCCCGGGCCTGGCCATCCTGCGGGTGGGGGGGGGGGTCCACTGGTCACGGGCGCGCGCACGCGCAGACTTGCCTCCCACTCGCTCAGGAAGCGCAGCGCCTCCTCGCGGCCAACGTCTTTGTGCCGCCGGAACTCGTCCTTCACATACTGATCGCCGAGGGCGCGCAGGTCGGGCGGCAGCGCGCGGTGCAGCACCAGGAGCCGCCGGTACAGGGCCCGGACGCGGGACACGTGTGGCCCCGGCATGACTGTGCCACCGGCCTCACTGCTCCTGCCCCGCGGGGGTTCCCGATGCGCCTGCGCGCGCCGCTCTGCTTTCCTGCGTCTCTTTCGGGAACCCCCTACTTCGAGGCCTTGGCCTTTGGAAGCTCCCAATGCGCCTGCGTACTGCGCCGCCTCTCCACCCCCTGCCATGAATGGCCTTTCCTCCGGGCCGGTTCCCAATGCGCCGGCGCACTGTGCAAGTTATCTCTTGGGGTCTTGGGGCCGGCCGGTTGAGCAGCAGCTCCCACTACGCCTGCGCGCTGTCTCATCTCCTCCTCAAAGACCGATCGCGTCTGCACAAGGGCTCCCCCGTTCGTTTGTCTGTCGCTGGAACGCCGGCTTGCGGTGCGCCTGCGCCGGGCCGGGAGCGCACGTTGGAGGCGGAGCCTGAGAGGCCTTGGCGCGCGACCTTAGAGAGGCACGTGCCGGGAACCGCGGCCCCGCTCCTCTGTGACAACCCGGGAAACGGAGGCAGCCCATCAGACCCCCACGGGAAGCCAGCTCTGAGCTTCCCAGCCAGCCACCTCCAGGAAGCCTTCCTTCATCTCCAGGGCCGAGGAGGGGGAGGGGGCCCTGCACGTAGGAAGCGCCCAATTGGAGTGGGGTGCACCCCCTCATCCTACAGAGGGGGAAACTGAGGCCAGGAGGGGAGGACTCCAACTTGAAGCGCACAGAAGTGGGGGCGGCGGGATGAAACTGCCTCCAGCATATCCAGGTGGAACTGTCCAGGCATGGTCTGGTGGAAGAAGGGGGCTCAGGAGACTCCACCCCCTGAGAAGAGTGGCCTGGGCACCAGGCCCTCCCACGGGCTCCCACCACTGGCCGCCTCCTCACGCACTCAGAGGCTCCCGGATGGAGACGGAGAAAAGTCCGGCAGTGGAGTGTCTCCCGCATTGTTACTTTGTAGCCAGCACGTCCCTGATGGCCTCCGTCCTGCAGACCCTGCCTCTTGCTTCTCTGCACAGCCGGAGCTCCTTCCAGCCTCCTCCCTCCCCGATGCTGCCCAGGCGGACCTCTCCGACATCCCCACTCTCTCCCCTTCTGGCTGTTGCCCGGCTACCCCCAAACATGCTCACGTTCCCTGCTGGTGCTCATCCTCCATCCCTCTTTCCCCTGCTGGCTGTACTCCTTGAGAAGGCTGTCCACAGTAGGTTTCCTCTCACTGGCATTTTGGCTGTCCAGGAGTCTGCATTCTGGCTTCATCATTCAACAGAAACTGTTCTCTCCGAATTTTGATGACCCTGGTGGGGGATAGGGAAGAATAACCACCTGGTAGGCTCCCTCCTAGGCAAGGCCGCAGTAAAGTGGGAGGGCCTCGTCCTCATTGGCACAGCGTTGACTGCTCTTGGAGGGAGGAACCTCCTTCCCAAGAATGAAAGCATTTGGTCACGTCCCTCCTCGGGGACCAGTGCTACCTTCTGGAAAGGTGAGGCTGCTGTTCAGTGACAACAGCCCTCCTAGCAAACTCCTGGGCTTTCTGTCTTCAGTTTGGCCTCCCTTTACCCCCTGGGGGTGGGCACACCTCTTCGGAGAGGCCCTGTTCCTCCTGGACACAGCGTTAACTGCCATCTCTTAGTTACCAAATCCAGTGGCCTCAGTCCTTGATCTCACTGCAGCCTGGGACATGGAGGGTCCCTCTCTCCTCCTGGACACTCTTCTTTCCAGGTTTCTGAGAAACCCCTCCCCCATTCTCCCCTTCCTCTCTGAGCAGGCCTTCTCTGTCTGCTTGGTAGAATCTTCATCTAGGTCCCCACCACTAACTTATGGGAATCTGAGAAAGTTCCGTCCTGGGCCTTCTCTTCTTTTTCCCTCTATATTCCTTCACTTGATGATCTCATCATCTCCCATGGATTCAGTTATCATCTCTGCTGATGATTCTCAAAATCATTTATCCAGCCCTAACCTCTCTCTTAACTTCTAGACTCTCATGTCTAACTGCTTATTGGACATCTCAAACAGGGTGCCCTATTGATATCTGAAACTCAACATGTCCATAATGGAACTCATCTTTTCCCCAAACTCTTTTCCCTTCTAAATGTTTTTTACTGTCTAAGGCACTATCCTCCTTCTTGTCACCCAGTCTCACAACCCAAGTCTAATGCTTGACCCCTCACTCTCACCCACCCACATTCACTCTGTTTTCGAGTCCTGTTGTTTCTACCTTTGTCACATCTCTGGAGCACATAGACCCCCTTCTCTCCTCTGACAGTGACCAGCCTGGTGCAGGCCCTCATCACCTCCCACCTAGACTATTGCAATTGAGGTGGGTCTCTCCCCTCCAGTCCTTTCTCCACTGAGTTGTCAAAGAGACCAGGCAGAAGCGCAGGCCTGACCATGCCTACCCCTCCCCCCCACATAATAAATGCCAATGTTGGGTTACCTCCAGTATCAAATATAAAATCCCCTTTTTTACTTTTAAAGCCCTGCCAAACCTGGCCTTCTCCTACCTTCCCAGGCTTTTTGCACCATTGCCCTCTTTGAGGCAGTCACTGGGCCCTCCTGGCGGTTTCTTGAACAAGATTGTCCCACCTGGGCATTCTTCCTGCCTCCCATCCCTAGAATTCTCTCCTCATAATTAGGCTTCCCTAGCTTCATTCATATCCCAGCCCAAACCTCTACAGCTACAGGAAGCCCTCCCTCATCCCCCTTGATTCTAGTACTTCCATCTGTTGCTTTTTCCTGATTTCTCCCATCTGTAGCTGGTTCATACATAGTTGTTTTGCATGTTTTCTTCCCCATTAGACTGTGAGCTCCTTGAGAGCAGAGACTGCTTTCCTTTGTGTCCTCAGCTGGCCAGTGAAAGTTCTGAAGGATAAAGGATTGGAAGCCATGGTGAAGACAAAGAGCAGGGACAGGAAAAAGTGGAATTGGGAGATTATAATCAATGAAGAGACTCTTCAGGTCTGTGGATGGCATCCAAGTTAAGACCAGTCCTGTGGGGAGCTATGGTTGGAATGAAGGAGACTGAGGAACTAGGAAATGAAGTTCATCAATATGATAGCTGACGTCCCCTGCTCTGAGGGAAGGAATGGGGTTAGAGAGGGAGACTGTGATCCAGGAAGAAAGAGACCACATGTCCTGAAGGCAGCCAGGGGTCTGAGTGATGACAATACAGCGAGAGGCTGGGAAGCCAGCAAGTCAGAGGGCAGATGGCACAACCGGTCCAGGAAACAAGGGTGGGAGCCAGGGAGCCCCAGAAAATGGAGGTGTACACAAGAATGAATAAGGTCTTAAGTGAAAAGAAATTAGAGAGGGTAGATGTTGTGGGGTCAGTGTGAGAGGGTAGGGGTGAGGGAGCAAACAGCAGGGTGGGTAAAGGGTGTTGTTAAGCTTTGGGGTTGACAAAGGAGAATGGGAGTGTTTTAACTGTGGAGGAATGAGTTCAGGCAGAGTAGGGTGGATTGGTGGATTAGGGGAGCTTCATGAATGAAAGCTGGTTATTTAGAAGGTAGAAGGTCAAAACAGTGCCTAGTATGCTATAGGGTGGAGAGCAAGGCTAGCGCAGCCCCAGCAAGAGTGCACGAAGCCCACGGCTGTGGAAACAGCCCTGGGCTTGGGGCCAGGACCCCGGGGTGACTCCCAGCTCCAACGTGGCTGCTGTTTGCGCACAGCTGTGTGCCTGTTGTCTCTCCTAGTAGACCGTGAGCACCTTGAGAGCAGGGCCTGGCACACAGTGGGTGCTTAATAACAGCACGAATTTATATAGTGCCCACTGTGTGCCAGGTACTGGGTCTAGGCACTTGACAATGATGATCCATTTGATCTTCCCACAGGGTTGTGCTATTATCATCCCCATTTCACAGATGAGGAAAGAGAGGCTGAAAGCTTTCTAAGTGACTTGTCTGGGGTCACACAGCTAGTTAGTCTTAAGGCTGAATTCGAACTCAGGGCTGGGCTCTTTCCCCACTGTGCCACCTAGCTTCTCCACTTGATCTAGCTTAGTGGTTTCACTAAAATTTTAGCTCCCATTTCCTCCTCAGAAAAATGGGCATCATAATAAATGCGTTGCTCAACTCAGAGAGCTGAAGTGAGGGTGAAATGAGAAAGGTTATGTGGAGCACTGGATAAACCCCAAAGGCTTGTGGGTAGCCTGTTCTTGGGGTGGAGGAAAGGGAGAGGGCTCATCCTGGGAGGCCAGAGCAGGGAGGCTCCCAGGTGTCTCCCAGAGGACTCCATTCCTTAAACACTTTTGATTGTTAGTTTCTCAATTAAGAGGTTGAGAAAGGCCAGGCTGAAGTCAGGATTTGGAAGATGGGTGCCCTAATGCTCACTAACAATGTAACCACAACGATAATAGTAACAGCTAACACTTACATAGGGGGCTGCTTCCAAGCTCTGGCGACTAACCTTATAATGGGGGAGGCGAGATGGAAAAGGAAGCTAGAAGATGGAGGAGGGGAAGGGAGAGATGGGGAGGAGAGGGCCCCCTACCAGTTCATAGTGAGCTAGAATGGAGACCCAGGAGCAGAGCCCAGGAAAGAGGGAAGGAGTATGAGGCCTGGGTGCTTTTCTGACCAGTCCCAGGACAGAGTGATCTGCAAGGCCAAGAAGGCTGCGGAGGCCTGGTTTGGGGAATAAGGGCAAGAGGATTGGTCTCTTCACTTAGGGCTTGCACCTTTTCTCTTGGGCACCTTCTCTGTAAGAAAAGCTTTCTGCCAGAGGACTACAGAAGTCGAAGTCATTATCGTGATCTCCGGGGTAGGGGGGCGGGGAGGGAACCTTGGGGTGGTTTTGTTTGCGTTAATTGAGGAAAAACATTTGCTTAGAAGGAATCCCAGCATTATTGTAATGGGTTTTATTTACTATTCAAACAAACCACATTAAGGAAAACTCTGGCAAGGTTTAACTGTGCTGTGGCTATTTTATTTCAGGAAATTCTTTCTAACCATACATCATCTGTTAATATTCTTGTAAATTGGAGATTAATTTCTTGTTCCATTTTGCTTTTTTCTGGTTTCCCCTTTGAGTCAGAGAACATGTATTATAAATATTATTTTGTGAGCTGAAGTTCTTATAAGAAAATAGAAAAGTGTGTTTTTCCAACGAATTAATAAAAATGAATTTGTGTATTCAGCCTGAGAGGAGCAGTAAGGCCCAGCGCTCATGGCAATGCCAGTGGAGGGCTGGCACAAAGGAGTGGCAAGATGGTGCTCGGTTGGGAGGAAACCTATCACCTCTTTGGTAGCCACAGTGAGATGCTAGAAACTGTGGGAGGGGACAGAGGGTGTCCAGAATCAGCTTTTATGCCA